GGGAGTCTGCTTCTCCCTCTGACCCTCTTCCCTACTCATGCTCTCTATCATTCTCTCAATAAATAAAAATCTTAAAAAAAAACAAAAAAACAAAAACGAGATCATTTGGATCTTGAATAATGTCAATAGAATGCTCCTTAGGTTCCTTTCGCACCCCCCCACAAATTATATTAGAATGAGAGTACCCCTGCCCCTTCAACACCCCCAACCATATATACACCAAAATTCTGACTTTCAAAGAAGCACATAAATATAAACATTAATCCAGTTTATTTTTTAATTTGGTATGGGAATTTAAAAGCCTAAAAGTAAGAGAGAAAAAGATCCTCTAGATTGAGGAGACTATACTAGACTGAAATGCCATTACACTTCTTCCTATCAAATGGCAATAATAACATGCCATTGAAAGACCATGTGGCAGCATTTGCTTCATTCTCAGATTCTAACACTTGGAAATTAAGTTTAATCTAAACCAAGGGAGAAAAACTGAGAAATACAGCTTAAGTAGAAAATGAACAACCAGAAAAGCGCATGCAAAATAAAAAGCAAAAGATCATAAAATTTGTTAGAAAGAGTATTCAGATAATGTACAAACTATATACATATATATGTGTGTGTATACACATATGTAATTTGAAACTGCATAACAATGTCTAAGTAAAACTAGTAATATGAAATTTTATAAACATTTTCAGGATTTCAGAGCTCTCATTTTTTATGATTAAACTGCACTTAATAAGTAATAGACTTAAGAAAACTTTAAATTGCTTTCAAAAAGCCAGGCACTAAGTAAGAATATAAAATACTGTTTCAAAAAATTCTAAACTAATATGAATTGGCAATGTGAAATAATATTTGCTTAAATTTAACTTTAAACAATCTAAGAAAACAACAGATTCTACTAGTAAAATAAAGACATAAATTCTGAAGTAAAATAACAGCTTGACAAGCAAAACAGTTCAATGGTTTAGAATTAGGGAAACAGTTTAAAGTTGAAAAATACACTTTTGGAACAAAAATTATTTGTCTCTCAGTCAAGAGAAATCCTAAACTGACTAATGTCATTCTTCCCTATGCTATTTAAAAGTACGCATGATGGCGTTCTTACCTGGAATAAGATCTGCATAGGTCAAGCTAACATATAAGATACTGATAAGTATTTTATCAGCAAGTGGATCAAGAGCACTTCCCAAAGCTGATTTTTGATTGGCCCAGTTTCGAGCAATAAATCCATCCAACTGAAAATAGAAGTTTTTTTTAAATAAATGTCATAATAGGTACAGAGTAGATATCTTGAAGGTTAATAGAATAACTATATATTTTCATAAAATGTTAATAAAACCTCTTCTGTTTCTTACCCCCAAACCTTCTCATTCTTTCACCGGTATATGTTTAGCTTTCAAATTACCAACTGGTCTAAAAGCAATCTCACTTTTCTACAGTACTTTTCTTTCTCAAGGCCTTCTGGTATTTCTTTTATTTTCATAAGGCCCCTTTGTGGGTTGAATCCAAACACAAATTTAGAGACTTAAAGGACCCCCAAAAAACCCAGAGAAAGCATGGCTGACAGAACATGGACTGGGGGCCCCTCCTTTGAGCCTTGGGTTATTTCACTACAGCCAAAATAGCTGCTTTTGCTTACAAGAACTATCTTTTAACTGCAAGACTTTGATTTTCACTCCTACCTACTTTTCTATGATATGATCCAACACTCTTAAGTTTTCACTGTTACTATTTTTCTTTTTTCTTTAGTGCAACTGTTAATTCCATGTCTGACTGTACGTGAATAAGAAAGTCAATCCTCAGGGGCGCCTGGGAGACTCAGTCGGTTAAGTGTCCAGCTCTTAGTTTTGGCTCAGGTCATGATCTCATGGGTCGTGAGATCGAGCCCTGTATTAGGCTCCGCATTCAACTCCACATTCAGCGGGGAATCTGCTTGAGATTCTCCCCCTCTGTCCCTCTCCTCACCTGCACGTGTGTGCTTTCTCTCTCTCCTCTAAAATAAATAAATCTTACCAAAAAAAAAAATCAATCCTCTGTACCTGGCCTACTTAAAAATCTTGATACGCAAATTACTTATTCACTATTCCTAGAAACCAATTATATTTTAAAGCAGAGGTCATACATGGTTACCAATGGGCCAAATGGGTCCTGCAAACAGCTTTTGGCTTAACCTGCCCAGAGCTTTTAAAACTGTAAATTAGCTGCCAACATTTAAATATTCAAAGTCTTACCACAAAAATCCAGATCTCTAGTTTCACTTGAGAAATGGAAAGATCTGATCACCCTGGAGCCACAAGATGAATTGAAATCAAGTATCTATCACCTATTCCCATTAAATAAGGGAGGTTATTTTCTGGCTTTCCAAGTCTCTACCTGGCTTTCCTCACTTTAATTTCAAGCTTCAACAAATTTTTTAATTTTCTAGTCCTATTTCCAAGGAGAAAGAACCAAGGAGAAATTAATTTAGACATAATTTAACATGTACATTTTAAAGGATAAATAAATCCTCTCTATCTCAAGTATTCCAGTAAGTTAGTAACAGGCCTATCACTAAGAACTTGCTCTTTGGCAGCAGAACATAATGGTTAAGAACTTGCTCTTTGGCAGAACATAACTGGTTCAAGTCCTGGGTCAGCCCTTTACTATGTGACCTTGGGGAAATTATTTGGCCTAAGCTTCTCTTTCCTCATCTGTACAAGCTACCTCAAAGGGCTGATTGTCTTCAGCACATAATGGAATTAATACTTGTTTAGTATTCAGTAAATCCGCAAAAAAGGCAGTTTCTAGCTATTACTACACAACTGAAAGAACCTATTTTCTTATAAAATATACCACATGTAACAATGTCTAACAGAAAGTACCTAGAACTGGGCATTGGGGCCTTGGAAGATTCAGGTTTCAGTTCAGTTTTTGATCTCAAGGAACTTAACCTTCCACTTTTTCACTACCATTCCCATCTGGTCCTCCCTGTTCCTCTACCTACATTAGATTCCAAGGTCATCAACTTCACTGCTCCTCTGCAAACATCTGTAATTCCCTTACTTCACTCTCCCTCCACCCTTCTTACACACAACTATCCATGTACTTACTCCAGGCCTGCACCTAACCAGCTGACCATTGCCCAAGAATACATAAGTGGGCTAACTGATCTCACTTCAAATTCGGGATCATAAATCTCCCATGGGCATTCAATACTGCCTGCCAATCCCACACCTGCCTGTTTACTTTCTTTTCACACTGTCTGTTCTCACTTCAAGCCTACTCCTCCTTCACTCCCATAGCCTCTCACTCTAACTCATGATCCTATCCATACTTTCCTTGAAAAACAGAAGCAGATTGTTAGCACTCCCTTATATTCCCACCCACAAATCCACCACCTACTTACTGCATCCAGACACATTCTCTGCTTTCTCTGATTCATGATCATAGGCCCTCTCACCTTCTGTGATTTGCCTCTCTTCTCCCCCATCTCTCCTGCATCATCAATCTCCTTTCTATCTGGTCATTTAATTAACCAGTTAATTAACAACAAAAATTCCCCCAGTATATAGAGCTTTAAAAACGACCCTTCTTCGACCCACTTCCCAATACCCCTACAAAGCAAAACTTTCTCAAAGCCACATCTATTGTCATTACACCTCACATTTGTTGCCAATCCACTCTGATTGTCCCCACTCCTCTAGAGATGGTGCTCATAAAGATCACCAATGAATTCTCCATTTTTAGCATACTTGACCTGAACACAATTGAAGCCCTGTCTTCACTTAACTTCTGGGACACCTGATGGCCTAATTTTCTTCCTTTCTCACCAAATGTTCTTTCTCAGTGTCCTTTACTGGCTCCTTTTCTATTGTTCCACATACTGCTCATTTCTCTGACCCCTTCTCTTCTTTAGATTTGAGATTCTCCCCCTCAAAAACTCCTAGTGCAATATTAAACACCTGATGGCCTAATTTTCTTCCTTTCTCACCAAATGTTCTTTCTCAGTGTCCTTTACTGGCTCCTTTTCTATTGCTCCACATACTGCTCATTTCTCTGACCCCTTCTCTTCTTTAGATTTGAGATTCTCCCCAGCAAAAACTCCTAGTGCAATATTAAAATCCTCTTCAATAATCAAATAGCCCAAAACTGGGGCCAAGCCAATTCTTGTCACTGACAACATATTTG